CAGTTTAAAACCATAAGCAAAAAAGCTTTCAAGGTTAGTTACAGAGAGAGCTACCTTCAAAAGTGCCGATCTGGCATCCGTGGGTGATCAGGCCACACTTCCACCCAAAATGGGGTGGGCTACTTTCCCAGGTTCAATCTTACCAAATTCAGTGGTCCAGACTTACCCAAATACTCCTTCCTCCTCGGTGTTCAGCCATTGGGTGGATCCACACTGCAGGGCCTCCCTGCTCCCCTCGGGCGAGGCTTTTCCACCGGGCAAATACCTGCCTGGGAGTACTCTCAGGATGCGTCACCCCAGCGAGCAGGAGTCCCCCTGAAGGGATGCTCCACAGGGCTAGGCAAACCACCTAAGAGACTTTTTCCCCACTGTCTGCTCTTCGAGACTTGCTTCCCGGCCACCGTACCAAAAATGTAGCAGGAGCGGCCCTGGGAAACGGATTTCTTGAACACCAAATAAAGGAGGGAGGAGTTTATTCAGCTGGGAAACCAGGCAGTAATTTGTTGAAAACCCAGCTCATCTAACAAAGGAAGGTTCTGCCTTTCTATAGGCTTATACTTTAGATGGTACCTGTGGAAGAATCTTAGGTTTATAGCTTTAGGTATCACATATGAAAGCGTTCTGGTTTACAGTTTTAGGACTCACATGTGAAAAGGTCTCTGTTTATAGTTTCAGGAATCACATATGAAAGGATTCTGGTTTACAGTTTTAGGACTCACATGTGAAAAGGTCTCTGGTTTGATCTTGTTTTAAGTAAAAATAGTGTCTTCCAGAGAGTTTCCCCAAGGCCAAGCGTGTTATTTTCAGAAAGGAGATTCAGGAGGCGCCAGCTGGCCTGCTCTCTCTTCTATTGAGCTACACAGTGGATGACAGAAGGGGAGGGAATCCCAGATGCCTGGGTCTCCTTCCTCAATACAACAAAATATTTCTTTTTTTTTTTTGAGATTGAGTTTCACTCTTGTTGCCCAGGCTGGAGTGCAATGGTGTGATCTCAGCTCACCACAACCTCTGCCTGCCACTTTCAAGCGATTCGCCTGCTTCCGCCTCCTCACCTCCCAAGTAGCTGGGATTATAGGCATGTGCCACCATGCCCAGCTCATTTTGTGTATTTTTTAGTAGAGATGGGGTTTCTCCATGTTGGTCAGACTGGTCTCGATCTCCCGACCTCAGGTGATCCACTCACTTTGGCCTTCCAGAGTACTGGGATTACAAGGCATGAGCTACCATGCCCTGCCAAAATTTTTCTTTTCTTTTCTTTTTTTTTTTTTTTCCATTTGTAAGACAGGATCTCACTCGGTTGCCCAGGCTGGAATACAGTGGTGTGATCATGGCTCACTGCGGCCTGAGCTCCGCAGGCGCAGGTGATCCTGCCTCAGCCACGGAAGTAGCTGGGACTAAAGGCACAAGCCACCACATCCAGCTGTTTTTTTCTGTTTTTTTTAGAGATGGGGTTTCATTAAAGTACTGAAGTGACAGGCGTGAGCCACTGTCCCCAGCCTTATTTCTTAAATGATAAAATAAAGTTGGGCTGCAGAATAGATATTATGTTAACAGACATGAAAATAACAATCACCTTCAGAGCTCTTGGTTTATTGAGTGCATTGTCAATGAGCAGTAATATGTTTAAAGGAATCCTTTTTTCTGAATAGTAGTTCTCAACAGTGAGACCCATTCTCAAAAACAAACAGCAAAAAAGAACTTACATGGTATGTCTCTGACCACAGTAGAATAAAATTAGTTATCAGCAACAGAAAGAAATTTGGGGAATTCACAGATATGTGGAAGTTAAATAACACACTTCTAAATAATCAAAAGAAGAACAAGCAAAACCCAACAGAGACAGGCAGAAGGAAATAATGAACATCTCAGTAGAAACAGAAAAAGCATTTAACAAAATCTAAAACCTTTTTATGTTGAGTAAAAGCACTCAACAAACTAGAAATAGAAGGGAACTTAACCCTATAAAGGGCATCAGTGGGGAACCTGCAGCTAACATAATAAAAGGTCAAAGACCGAAAGTTTTTTTTTTTTTTTTTTTTTTTTTTTTTTTTAAGTTTTATCCCTAAGATGAGAAACAAGGCAAAAAAGTCCGTTTTTGCCGCTTCCACTCAACATTATACTAGAGGTGCTAGCCAGGGCTTTTAGGCAAGAAAAAAGACATAAAACACATTCAGATTGAAAGGGAAGAATTAAAACTATTGTTAAATGACATTATTTTGTATTTGTCATCAAGTTGTGAAAGAAGCCAGATGCAAAAGGCCACATATATTACACACTGCATATGAAATATCCAGAATAGGCAAATCCATGAGACAGAAAGTAGATTAGTGATTCCCAAGGGCCGGGGGAGAGGAGGAGAGGGAAATGACTGCTTATGGATACAGGGTTCCTTTTATGTGTAACAAAAATGTTTTGGAACCAGATAATGATTATGCTTATGATTGCATAACCTAAAACCACTGAATTGTACGCTTTTAAATTGTGGATTTTATAGTATTATTAATTATATCTCAATTTCCAAAAAAGAAAAGTAACTTGATTGCTATTTCTTATTTTGGTTTATTGACATTTCTGTTTTCAAAAGGGCAAAAAAAAAATCTGTGTATTGAGTTGGACACTGGGTAGTGTTTCTTTTGTTCTAGTTAGCCTTCAGTCATCTTTTTTTTTTTTTTTTTTAGTAGAAATTCCTAATTCATCAATAAATTGCAGCCAAACTACTAGAAATAAAAATTTTTCTGTGTAAGTATTCCCCAACAATGTTTCTGGGTAATAATCAGTATTTTATTTAGTGTCATAATTATTAAAATTATAGTAGGTCACCTGTCAGTTAAATTTAGTAATTTTTAGCGAGGTGGTATGTTTTAAAGTTTGGAATGCTCTTTTATTAAAAAAAAAAAAATTTTCCCCTGAGACAATCTCATTCTGTCGCCCAGGCTGGAGTGCAATGACGTCATTTCAGCTCCTTGCAACCTCCACCTCCTGGGTTCAAGCAGTTCTCCTGCCTCATCCTCCTGAGTGGCTGGGATTACAGGTGTGTGCCACCATCCCTGGCTAATTTTTGTATTTTTAGTAGAGATGGGGTTTCACAGTGTTGGCCAGGCTGATCTTGAACTCCTGACCTCATGATCCACCCACCTTGGCCTCCCACAGTGCTGGAATTACAGGGATGAGCCACTGAACCCAGCCTTAAAAACATGTTTTTAAAATAGAGATGGTGTCTCGCAATGTTGTCTAGGCCGGTCTCAAACTTCTGGCCTCAAGCGTCCTCCTGCCTTGGGCTCCCAAAGTGCTGGGATTACAGTTGTGAGCCACAACAAAATTTTTTTTTTCTCATTTTATTATTTTTTTGAAAATGGAGTCTCACTCTGCCACCCAAGCTGGAGTGCAGTGGCATAGTCATAGCTCACTCACTGTGGCCTCAAACCCCCAGGCTCAAACGATCCTCCTGCCTCAGCCTCCTGAGTTTTTTGGATGTTGTTGCTGTTGTTGAGACAGGATCTCACTCTGTCAACCAGGCTGGAGTATAGGCGCCATCATGACTCACTGCAGCCTCAGTCTCCCAGGCCTAAGCAATCCTCCCACCTTGGCCTCCCAAGTAGCTGAAACTATAGGTACGCGCCACCATGTCTGGCTGTGCTGTGTATTTTTTGTAGAGATGGGGTTTCACCATGTTACTTAGGCTGGTCAAACTTCTGGGCTCAGGTAATTCACCCACCTTGGCCTCCCAAAGTGCTAGGATTACAGACAATGAGCCACTGCACTTGGCCGTGTGTGTGTGTGTGTGTGTGTATCTAGATGCTGCCTCAGGAACTCTTTCGGTTTTTAATATAAAGTTTCATTGATTTGGCTTGGTGCGGTGGCTCACGCCTGTGATCCCAGCACTTTGGGAGGCTGAGGCACGTGGATCATTTGAGGTCAGGAGTTGGAGACCAGCTTGGCTAACAGGGTAAGACTCCGTCTCTACTAAATATAAAGTTTCATTAATTCTGTGACACAAGTGGCCTCAAACTCCTTGGCTCAAGCTGGAGTGTGATTTGTTATTCCAGGAGTTAGGGAAACTAAGGTACTGCAGTGGGTATTTTAAACTCAGCCAGCCAAGATAGATTTGGATTGTTAGATTTGGCCCCAGCTCTTCTCATCATCCTAAGTTATTTTTTGGAGTCAAATTATGTTTTTTTATCTTAAACTAGCATTATTTAAATTTTAAAAGAAAAATACTGTCCTAAAATGAAAGATGAAAAAATCACAGAATCCAGACCATGTACTGTATTCCAGAATACCTTTGTTCTAGGTGGCTGCAATAGCAAAATCACATGAGGCCATATTTGGGCAACAAGGCCCTTTTTCTTCTTGTTCACTCTCCTTTTTCAGTTACCCAGTACCAGCATACAGATTGCTGAGTTGTGTCCTTTAAAGATATTGACAATATGACCAGATGCCAGTGAAATAGAATTAGCTTTTAACAGAAGGATCAAGCTCCTATGTGGGCTAATGTAGCAGTGGTTGAGTGGTAAAAGATAATATCCAAGAAGCCAGTCTCCCCTTATCTGCTATTCCTGTTCAACTTTCTTTTTTTTTTTTGAGACGGAGTTTCGCTCTTGTTACCCAGGCTGGAGTGCAATGGCACGATCTCGGCTCACCGCAACCTCCGCCTCCTGGGTTCAGGCAATTCTCCTGCCTCAGCCTCCTGAGTAGCTGGGATTACAGGCATGCACCACCATGCCCAGCTAATTTTTTGTATTTTTAGTAGAGACAGGGCTTCACCATGTTGACCAGGATGGTCTCGATCTCCTGACCTCGTGATCCACCTGCCTCGGCCTCCCAAAGTGCTGGGATTACAGGCTTGAGCCACCGCGCCCGGCTGCTGTTCAACTTTCAAAGGTACCATTTAATGGCCTGGAGATGGGTTGAAGTGATAGGATTTACTTCAAATCACTATTGATTGTTTTTGTGATGATAGTTCATTGTACTGTAATTCTATTGTCTTCTTCTGTACATAGGTTGAGAGCACGATTGGATGCTTACTTTCAGGTGAGCAGGACCCAGCCTGACATGCCAGCTACCAGTTACAATTCAGGGACTAGGAATCCTATGTCTGAAGACTTGGAGATATCCAGTAGTTCTGATTCTGACAGTGACAGCTCTACAGAGTATGGAGAGGTTGTTGACCAGACAGAGGAATCTGGAGCTGTCATTTCAGAAGGTCAGTATTTTATCCAGGTTTGGATTCAGAAGTCTAACAGGCATGAAGCTTAAACTTCAGAAGGCTAGAAGCTCTAGATTTGTGCTTTAACACTTTCCCTTTTCTCCCCTAAATGTTGTAGATTCCTGTTTTATAGTATAGAGCGGGTGTCCCCAAATTGCGGCCCCCTGAGGCCATTTATCTGGCCCCCTGCCGCACTTCAGGAAGGGGCACCTCTTTCATTGGTGGTCAGTGAGAGGAGTACAGTACACTGTCCCTCCAACGGTCTGAGGGACAGTGAACTGGCCCCCTTTGTAAAAAGTTTGGGGACGCCTGGTATAGAGCCTTCACTGGCCATAATATAGAGAGGATTTGATCTGACTTACAGTTCAGTGTAATTTGTGACCCAGTGAGTCAGTCACTTTGTAATGGCATTTTATATTCTCTTTTGCTTTTTTAGACACCTGAGAAAATAGATTGCTTTTTTTTTTTTCTTTAATTTTTTGACAAGGTCTGGCTCTGTTGCCCAGTGACAACTACAGTGCAATGACAACAATCTCAGCTTACTGCAGCCTCTTCCTTTATGCTCAGGCCATCCTTCCACCTCAGCCTCCCAAGTAGCTGGGACTAAGGCACACGTAACCACACTGGCTAATTTTTTAACTTTTCTGTAGAGACAGGGTTTTTCCTTGTTGCCCCAGCTGGTCATAAACTCCTGAGCTCAAGAGATCCACCTGCCTCAGCTTTCCAAAGTGCTGGGATTACAGACAGGAGCCACTGCACCCGGACTAGGTTCTTTTTTCTTTTTTTTTTTTTTTTGAGACGGAGTTTCGCTCTTGTTACCCAGGCTGGAGTGCAATGGCGCCATCTCGGCTCACCGCAACCTCCGCCTCCTGGGTTCAGGCAATTCTCCTGCTTCAGCCTCCTGAGTAGCTGGGATTACAGGCACGTGCTACCATGCCCAGCTAATTTTTTTTTTTGTATTTATAGTAGAGACGGTGTTTCACCATGTTGACCAGGATGGTCTCGATCTCTCGACCTCGTGATCCACCCGCCTCGACCTCCCAAAGTGCTGGGATTACAAGGTTGAGCCACCGTGCCCGGCCTAGATTCTTTATTTAAGAGAAGTTTTGTTAATTCAGCCCCCTGTCTAGGCTGACACTTTCGAGTCCTAGTATTTTAGGTGTTATGCAAGTGGAACTTTAACAGTCGTAGGCAGAGACTCCCTAAAGTAGATGTCCTGCTTACATTAAAAACTTTCTAAGCCAGGCGCGGTGGCTCAAGCCTGTAATCCCAGCACTTTGGGAGGCCGAGGCGGGTGGATCACGAGGTCGAGAGATCGAGACCATCCTAGTCAACAAGGTGAAACCCCATCTCTACTAAAAATACAAAAAGTTAGCTGGGCACGGTGGTGCGTGCCTGTAATCCCAGCTACTTAGGAGGCTGAGGCAGGAGAATTGCCTGAACCCAGGAGGCGGAGGTTGCGGTGAGCCGAGATCGCATTGCACTCCAGCCTGGGTAACAAGAGCGAAACTCCGTCTCAAAAAAAAAAACAACTTTCTAATCCCCAGAGGGTACTCTTTCAGTATATTTTCCCACTGAAAGAATATTCTTGGATTATGAATTGAAATATAATAAATATATATTTGTATTTATATAATTTTCCAAAACCTCATTTGTCATTATTGTAAGTTGTTAGAACCTCAACTCATTACTCCAAAAACTAGTAAATAAGAATATATTAATATTTTGACTTCCTGTATAAAATGTATTTAGGACAACCAGAGAGTTGATGAAGTGTATTTTTGTTGTTGTTGTTTTTTATTTATTTTTTTGAGACAGGGTTTCACTCTGTCCCCCAGGTTGGGAGTGCAGTGGCATGATCACAGCTCACTGCAGCCTTGACCTCCCATGCTGAAGCGATCCTCTCACCTCAGCCGACTGACTAGCTAGGACTATATGTACATGCCACCATACCTGGCTAATTTTTTGTAGGGATAGGTTCTCCCTATGTTGCCCAGGCTTGAAAGTTTTCTTAAGTAAAAAATTTCAGCTGATTGCAGCAGAAGCAATAGAAAAGTCATCATTTTGTGACTCCTAATTAAATGATATATCTAGGCACAGATCATCAGTGGATCCTAAAACCAGTAGGTTGCAGTATTGATGGGATTCTTTTTAATACAGGGACCAGGATGATACCACCTGAACCTACTGGTCAATCTTAGCATCTCAAAAAAATAGGTCAAGACCATATGTGCCTCTTAATGTGCTGTAATCTGAAATACTCATGCCACTTAGGAAGTACTGTAGTATATATACACACAGCAGCCCCCCACCCCCACTGCCAAAAAAAAGCCCTGAATCTACTCAAGACTCTTTACTTTTTTTTTTTTTTTTTTTTTGAGACGGAGTTTAGCTCTTGCTACCAAGGCTGGAGTGCAATGGCGCGATCTTGGCTCACTGCAGCCTCCGCCTCCTGAGTTCAGGCAATTCTCCTGCCTCAGCCTCCTGAGTAGCTGGGACTACAGGCACACGCCACCATGCCCAGCTAATTTTTTTTTTTTTTTTTTTTTGTATTTTTAGTAGAGACGGGGTTTCACCATGTTGACCAGGATGGTGTCAATTTCTTGACCTTGTGATCCACCCGCCTCGGCCTCCCAAAGTGCTGGCATTACAGGCTTGAGCCACCGCGCCCGGCCCCTAAAGACTCTTTTCTAATAACATGTTTGCATAGTCTGTAGAAAAAGGGGTGGAGGAACAAGGTAAATAATGCCTCGGAGATGTCGTCAATCATTTACATTAAAAGTGTAGAATGTTTTACAAATGGAACGTCTTTCTAGATCTAAATGTATATGGAAATTTAACATATTGTAAAGGGAATATCTCAAATCAGTGGGGACAGTTTTTAATGTTTTATATAACAGTAAACCAGCATAGTATGTGATTCCACTTACATAAAATGTCCAGAAAGGGCAAAAAAAAAACCCTATTCAGGAGGCTGAGACAAGATTAGTGGTTGTCTGGGGCTACAGGTGCAAGTGTGAAGTGACTCTACATGGGCATAAAGGATCTTTGTGGGATGAAAGAAATATTTTAAATTGGGTTATGGTGATGGTCACACAATGCTAAATATATTGTATGTAAAAGTTAAACATTTCAGGCTGAGCATGGTGGCTCACACCTGTAATCTCAGCACTTTAGGAGGCTGAGGCGGGCAGATCACAAGATTGAGAGATTGAGACCATCCTGGCCAACATGATGAAACCCCATCTCTACTAAAAACACACAAATTGGCTAGGCATGGTACGTGCACGCCTATAGTCCCAGCTACTTGGGAGGCTGAGGCAGGACAATCACTTGAACCTGGGAAGCAGAGGTTTCAGTGACCCAAGATCGAATCACTGCACTCCAGCCTGGTGACAGAGTGAGACTGCATCTAAAAATAATAATAATAATTTTAAAAAGTTAAACAGTTTCATGAAGAAGCAGTCAGCCAAATCCAGGATGTGTAGGACATTTCATTAGACAAATTACCTAACAAATCATTGACAGAGAGGGAAAAAAATGGATGAGGGGGAATTGTTATAGAATGAAAAAGACTTAAGAGACTTAAGCTCATTATGGGTACCTTTTTTGGATTCCGATTGGAATAAATCTTTAGAAAGCAGCTTTAAAACTTAGTATGGATGCCTGGTTATTCAGTGGTATTGGAGGACTGTTGTTAGGTATAATAATTATACAGTGTTTATGTTAAGAAAAAGAATTTTTATCAGTGTTTGCAGAAGTTGTTGCAAGTGCAATGACATTTTAAGGTTTGTTAAGTATTCCAAACAAAAGAAAATAATGGAATAAGGGCTTAGGTGGAACAAGATTGGCAAAATGTTGATTATTTTTTCAATTGAGTGATGGGTACTTGTGGCCTACCTATACTGTTCTGTCTACTTTTATGTATATTTGAGAATATCCAAAATAAAATTTTAAAAATAAATTCACTGACGGTACCTGGAGAAATTGTTATCTCTTTTGCAGGAGCACTGTTAGTTAGAAATGGGAAGCTGTAGTGAGTCAGGCTCTTTCTTGCTATCTTCTCATACCTGACATATCTTATTTTGTATTTTCCCTATCCTGTCATTTTTGGAAATGACTTGGCAGAGCAACTCGCAGGTGTCTCGGCAGAGCAAGAAGTTACATCTATCAATGGAGGTGAAACCCTCCCCAAACAGGTAACATGAACATCATTTTATTTTACTTTTTATTTTATTTATTTTTTATTTTATTTTATTTGAGACTGTGTCTTACTCTTACCCAGGCTGGAGTTCATTGGTGCAGTCATAACTCACTGTAGCCTCAAACTACTGGGCTCAAAAGATCCTCCCACTTCAGCCACCTGAATAACTAGAACTACAGATAATACCACCATACTTAGCTAAATTTTTTATTTCTCATAGAGACAGGGTCTCACTATGTTACCCAGCTGGTTTAGAACTCCTGGGCTCAAGGGGTCCACCTGCCTCAGTCTCCCAAAGCATCGAGATTGTAGGCATGAGTCACCATGCCCAACCTGAATATCCTTTTAAATAAAAGATTGGGGTTTTTGGCCGGGCTCAGTGGCTCACACCTGTAATCCCAGCACTTTGGGAGGCCAAGGTGATCACATAAAGTTGGGAGTTTGAGACCAGTCTGGCCAACATGGTGAAACCTTGTCTCTACTTTAAAAAAAAAAAAAAGGAGGGGCTGCATTTAAAATGGGAACCTTGCCGGCTTTGTAGGGAAGAGGTCCAGGTGTGTATCCTAACCCAGGTACTCATTATTTGTGTGACTGCTTTCTCTTAGATTTAAAAATGGGGAGGGAGGAGTATTGAGGACAACCCGTCCCATCTAGCCAACAAGGTGAAGTATCAATCGAAAAAATGTAAATATGCTTTATAGATTATCAAGCACATTAGCTGGGTGTGGTGGCACACACCTGTAGACCCAGCTACTTAGGGAGGCTGAAGCAGGATTGCTTCAGCCTGGGAGGTCAAGGCTTCAGTGAGCCATGATTGCACCACTGCACTCCAGTGCAACAGAGTAGGACCCTGTCTCAAAAAATTAAAATTAAAAAAACTATCAGGCAGAATATGATTAGTAGGTGATAATTTTTAGTTTTAAAAATAACGGGCCAGATGCAGTGGCTCACACCTACAATCCCAGCACTGTGGGAGGCCAAGGCAGGCTGATCATCTGAAGTCAGGAGTTCGAGACCAGCCTGGTCAACGTGGCAAAAGCCATCTCTACTAAAAATACAAAAATTAGCTGGATGTGGTGGCTGGTGCCTGTAATCCCAGCTACTCAGGAGGCTGAGGTAGGAGAATTGCTTGAACCTGGGAGGTGGAGGTTGCAGTGAGCCAAGAAAGCGCCAGTGCACTCCAGCCTGGGAGATTGAGCAAGACATCATCTCAAAATAATAATAATAATAATGGCCAGGCACAGTGGCTCACACCTGTAGTCCTAGGACTTTGGGAAGCCAAAGTGGGTGGATCACCTGGGGGTCAGGAGTTCGACACAAGCCTGGCCAACATGGTGAAACCCCGACTCTACTAAAAATGCCAAAATTATCCATGTGTGGTGACATGTGCCTGTAGTCCCAGCTACTCAGGAAGCTGAGGCAGGAGAATCACTTGAACCCAGGAAGCAGAGGTTGCAATCAGCCGAGATCGTGCCACTGCACTCCAGCCTGGGTCACAGAGTGAGACTCCATCTCAAAAATAGTAATAATAATACCTATACATCATTGTCCTCAATATGAGTTATGGACATCTGCTGTGAATTCTGCCAATCTCAAAACATCATTTATCTACTTTTTGCATATTTCTCTATGTTCTTTGTGTTTTTATTTGAGTCTGGCTCATTTTTCCCAGCTTATTACATCTTAGCTTTCTGTTATCAGCACATAAAGTTGTATCTTCTTCTTATTAATAGCTGCATGGCATTCCATCATACAAATAAATTTTGAGTTAATTCTTCCCTTACCATGTAAAGCATGATTGGTGTATGATGGCACATGCCTGTGTTTCTTAACTACTTGGGAGGATAATACTTTTTTTTTTTTCCCAGATATAAATCATGCTACACTTAACTTTTTTTTTTTGAAACTGGGTCTCATTCTGTCCCCCATGCTAGAGTGCCAGTCATAGCTCACTGTAGCCTCAATCTCCTGGGCTCAGGTGACGCACTTACCTCAGCCCCCTGACTACTTGGGACTTCAGGCATGTGACTAATTTAAAAAAAAAATTTTTTTTTGAGACGGAGTTTTGCTCTTGTTACCCAGGCTGGAGTGCAATGGCGTGATCTTGGCTCACCTCAACCTCCGCCTCCTGGGTTGAGGCAATTCTCCTGCCTCAGCCTCCTGAGTACTGGGATTACAGGCACATGCCACCATGCCAAGCTAATTTTTTGTATTTTTAGTAGCGACGGGGTTTCACCATGTTGACCAGGATGGTCTTGATCTCTTGACCTCGCGATCCACCCGCCTTGGCCTCCCAAAGTGCTGGGATTACAGGCGTGAGCCACCGCACCTGGCCAATTTTTTAAATTTTTAACAAGAGACAAGGTCTTGCTGTATTGCCAGGCTGATTTCAAACTCCTGAGCTCAAGTGATCCTCCTACCTTGGCCTCTTAAAGTGCTAGGATTATAGGCCTGAATCACCACATTTGGGCCTCATGGAACAATCTTTTTTTTTTTTTTTTTTTTAAAATAGAGACGGGGTCTTGCTATGTTGCCCAGGCTGGAGTGCAGTGTCTATTCACAGGCGAGATCCCACTACTGGGCAGCACGGGAGTTTTGACCTGCTCCGTTTCCGACCTGGGCGGGTTTATCCCTCCTTAGGCAACCTGGTGGTCCCCTGTCCCTGGGAGGTCACCATATTGATGCCAAACTTAGTGCAGACACCCGATCAGCATAGCACACTACAGCCTAGAACTCCTAGGCTCAAGCCAAGCGATCCTCCCATCTCAGCCTCTCAAGTACAGGGACTACAGGCACGCACCACTTCGTCAGGTGAAATAATCTTATATGATTGTCTTAGAAAGTATTTCTGACTATGATCATGGTATGCATAATAGTTTCAGTCAGTGACAGGCCACATGTATGATGGTTGTCTCTTAAGATTATAATACAAGGCCGGACACAGTGGCTCATGCTTGTGATCCCAGCACTTTGGGAGACCAAGGCAGGCAGATCACTCGAGGTCAGGAGTTTGAGACCAGCCTGGCCAACATGGCAAAACCCCATCTCTACTAAAAATACAAAAATTAGCCAGTCATGGTGGTGTGTGCCTCTAATTCCAGCTAGTTTGGAGGCTAAGGCAGGAGAATCACTTGAACCCAGGAGGTGGACGTTGCAATGGGTGGAGGTCACACCACTGCACTCCAGCCTAGGCAACAAAGACTCTGTCTCAAAAAATATGTATATAATGTACATGTATAATAATACCACGTTTTTATTGTACCTTTTCTGTGTTTAGATACACAAATACTTACCATTGTGCTACAGTTACCTGCAGTAATCGGCACAGTAACATGCTATACAGGTTTATGGCCTAAGTTTGTAATAGGTTATACAGTCTAGGTTTATTTAAATATCTCTGGGATAATTCAGTGACAAAATCGCCTAAGGCTGCATTTCTCAGAATGTATTCCCATTGTCAAGCAGTGCATGGTTGTATATCCATGAGATATCTCTAGCGGAGAGATTGCTATGCCAAAGGAAAGATATACGTGTTTTAATTTTCATGGATAATACCAAATGGTGCCACTTTATATTTAAGGCAACAGTATATAAGCATGTCCATATCTCATTTACCCTTAGCAGTGCTTGGTGTCATCAGACATAAATTTGTACCAATCTAATAGATGAAAATGTTCTCTTTAATTTACATTTTTTTATAAGCAAACACTTACTGACCATTGTGTTTTTTCTTGTAAGCTGTTTATGTCCTTTCTTGGTTCTCTTTTTTTTTTTCCTCCAATACACATGAGCTAAATATTTTACATCTGCTATATCTTTATATGGATAGCTGCTTTTCTTTGTTTGAATGAAGGAAAAAGTATCCAAGGATTTTGTAAAATCAAAGAGTAGGCCGGGTGCGGTGGCTCAAGCCTGTAATCCCAGCACTTTGGGAGGCCGAGGCGGGTGGATCACGAGGTCAAGAGATGGAGACCATCCTGGTCAACATGGTGAAACCCCGTCGCTACTAAAAATACAAAAAATTAGCTGGGCGTGGTGGTGCGTGCCTGTAATGCAGCTACTCAGGAGGCTGAGGCAGGAGATTTGCCTGAATCCAGGAGGCGGAGGTTGCGGTGAGCCAAGATCGCGCCACTGCACTCCAGCCTGGGTAACAAGAACGAAACTCCTCCTCCAAAAAAAAAAAAAAAAGATCAAAGAGTAGTGTAGTTTTCATAGATTATATTTTGCCACATTGCATTCTAGAATAACAAGTGATTCATAGGTGTTTCGAGTTTTCTGCAGCCCTTTTAATTACATTTGTATCACTTTTTTGCACTTTTGTTCATTTCTTAGAGTTGCACATCTTCTTCAAGATTGATTTTACATTTTCTCTAATTTGAATATATTCTTATATCCAACTAGCCATCTTCCCAGAAGTCCAATCCTCTGCCACCTTCTGCTTCTGTGGATGAAGAAGAAGGGGACACTTGCACAATATGTCTGGAACAGTGGACCAATGCTGGGGACCACCGGCTCTCAGCATTACGCTGTGGGCATCTCTTTGGGTATAAGTGCATTTCCACATGGCTCAAAGGACAAGTACGAAAATGTCCCCAGGTAAGGACCATAGGTAAGGACGCACTAACATGTTAAGTCAGGCAAATTCCTAGAACCACTCTAATTATGTCCTATTGGATTCTTTAGTGCAACAAGAAAGCCAAGCACAGTGACATTGTTGTTCTTTATGCCCGAACCCTACGAGCTTTGGACACCAGTGAACAGGAGCATATGAAAAGGTAGGTGGAGAGAGTATACCTGGCTGGAATGTTCCCTTTTGGTTCATTGTAGGCACATCTGAAAAAGGAGATATGAGTCACTCATGGTGATGTTTTACTTAACCTGTAACTTGGGATCTCTGGGGATCCTTGGCAGTCTGTCTTATGTTGTTATTTACAATTCATGTCTGATCATCTTCTGAAGAAAGTCTACATCGTTTGCCTTACATATAGCATTAAACATACAGCATCAAACAAGGATCTGGCACATTACTTAACTGTTGCCGTTTTTGCTTCTCATGTCCATGAGTCCCCCAGCAGTTCTCTATACAGAAAATTCTTTAAGTGAAGCTTTGTACGTACAGTGCAATATAAAAAATTACCAGGATTTTGGAAGCACATAAACAGTTGCTAGTAACACCACTCAGTATATGCTTCAAAAATACTAAAGAACATACACACCATTGAGAGAGGTGCAGGGACATGGATTCTCTTAAACACTTTACTGGTTAGGATGTACACAGGCAAAGCCATTTTGAGACGTCCTTGGAAATGTGTCTCAAAGCCTTTCATCTAATAATAATTGCTCAGGCATTTGTTCTAAGGAATCATTAAAGGGTGTGTACAAAGATTTACTTAATGGCACTCCATTTAGCATTGTTGAAAATCCAAGGCAAGAGGATTGCTTAGCTGAGTGAACGGTGGTGTGTGCCTGGACAGAATACTATACAGTGTTGAAGTTCGTGTGTGTTGTCCTGTGAAAGCATGTTAGTAGTATGATTGCATTTTTGTGAACTAGAAAAAGAAAACACGGCTGGTGCGATGGCTCACTCCTGTAATCCAGCACTTTGGGAGACCAAGGTGAAAGGATTGCTTGAGGCCAGGAGTTCAAGACCAAACTGGCCAACATAGCGAGATCCTGTCTCTACTTAAATTTTTTTTTAAAAGAAAGAAAAAAAATACTATAGGTAGTCACCATACTGATTATTTTAATTTTCTTCATTGTTTTTACTCATTTGTTCCAACCAGTACTCATTTAGAGCATTTTTAAATAATGGAAGATGTATACAGAGAGGAATTTTGTTGAATAGGCAAAATCTATAGGTAGGTGTGCCTGTTAATGGGTGATGATATTTAAAAACAATTCACTCATTACAATCGTCAATTAGTGTACTCTCTAGCCTCCTTAGAAAAAAGTGAAGAATTTCAAAATGCCAATACAGACTAATAAAACAAACAGCCTTGTACCCAATTTTATCAAATCTTTATATTTTGCCACATTTGCTTTGAGCCTTTTTGAAAAGAAATAGGCTGAGTATAGTGGTTCATGCCTATAATCCCATCACTTTGGAAGGCTGAGGCAGGAGAATTGTTTGAGACCAGCATGAGCAACATTGTGAGACCTTGTCTCTACCAAAAATGAAAAGAATTAGCCAGGTGTAGTGGTGCACACCTGTAGTCCCAGCTACTCAGAAGGGAGGATTGCTTGAGGCCAGGAAGTTGCAGCTGCAGTGAGCTGTGGTAGTACCACTGCTCTCTAGCCTGGGTGACAGAGCAAGACTCTGTCTCAAAAAAAAAAATTAAAGAAGGAAAAAAAAGAAAGAAAATTTTAAAGAAGAAGTAAATTATAGATATAGAAGAGCCAGACGCAGTGACTCACGCCCGTATCCTAACACTTTGGGAGGCTGAGGCAGGCAGATTGCCTGAGTTCAGGAGTTCAAGACCAGCCTGGGCAACATGATGAAACCCTGTCTCTACTCAAAATACAAAAAATTAGCCGGGCATGAGGGTGCATGATTGCTAGCTACAGAGGAGGCTGAGGCATGAGAATTGCTTGAATCTGGGAGGTGGAGGTTACTGTGAGCCGAGATTGTGCCGCTGCACTCCAGCCTGGGCAACAGAGCACGACTGTCTTAGAAAAAGAAGAAGGAACACTAGAAGCCTTCCTGTGTTCTTCCTAAGTTCTCCTTAATTCCATAGGTAACTGCTTTCATGAATTTGGTGTTCATTCCCAAGAGTGATTATGTATTTGATCAACTATCTATGTATTTGTAAATTATACATACTATGATTTAGAAAGTTTTTATACTTTATGCAAATGTTATGTTAGATTATAATTTTTTCTTCTGTAGTTGGCCTTTTTGCTTAATATTATGTTTTGGGAGCATATCTTAGTTCATACACATGGCTCTAGTTTTTTTCATTTCAGTTTCTGGATAGTATTCTAGTTCTCTAGTCAAAACTTATCTGTTTGTATTTTATATTGGTAGACATTTAGGTTGTCTCCAGTTTTTGTTAACATCAGCCATGCTGATGAGAGTCAGGTCTAGCAATGGAATTGCTTTATTATAAGGTGCATTTATTTCAGGTTTACCTAGATATTGTCGAATAACTCTCGTTTTTAAAAAATGAGAGATTTCTCTTTTTCTGTACCCTTGCCAATTTTATTTGCTTATTTTTTGTGAGACAGTTTTTCACTTGTTGCCCAGGCTAGAGTGCAATGGAGTGATCTCAGCTCACTGCAACCTCTGCCTCTCAGGTTCAAGCAATTCTTCAGCCTCAGCCTCCTGAGTAGCTGGGATTACAGCTGTGCAGAGCCACGTCTGGCTAATTTTGTATTTTTAGTAGAGACGGGTTTCTCCATGTTGTCACGCTGGTCTCAAACTCCTGACCTTAGGTGATCCGCCCACCCTGGCCTCCCAAAGTGCTGGGATTACAGGTGTGAGCCACTGCACCCAATCCAATTTTATTTTTATTTATTTATTGAAAGAGTCTACCTCTGTTGTCCAGGCTGGAGTGCAGTGGCACAATCTCGGCTCACTGCAACCTCTACCTCCCAGGTTCAAGCAATTCTCCTGCCACAGCTTCCCAAGTACCTGGGACGACAGGTCCGTGCCTCCATGCCTACCTAATTTTTTGTATTTTTAGTAGAGACAGGGTTTCACCTTGTTAGCCAGGATGATCTTGATCTCCTGACCTCATGATCCTTAGCCTCCCAAAGTTCTGGGATTACAAGCATGAGCCACCACACCCAGCCCCCTTGCCCATTTTCTATTAGATTTAATATTTTTTCCCAGTCTCGTTGCATGAAGCAGAATTTCACCTTAATTTACATTACCTTAATTACAATTGAGGTTGAACATACTCTTTCGTGAGCAAAAGAATTCATATTTTTTATTCATTTGTATTGGGTTGTTTCTTTTTTTTTCTTTTCTTTTCTTTTTTTTTTTTGAGATGGAGTTTCGCTCTTGTTACCCAGGCTAGAGTGCAGTGGAACGATCTTGGCTCACTGCAAACTCCGCCTCCTGGGTTCAGGCAATTCTCCTGCCTCAGCCTCCTGAGTAGCTGGGATTACAGGCATGCGCCACCATGCCCAGCTAATTTTTTGTATTTTTAGTAGAGATGGGGTTTCACCATGTTGACCAGGATGGTCTCGATCTCTTGACCTTGTGATCTACCCGCCTCGGCCTCCCAAAGTACTGGGATTACAGGCTTGAGCCACCGCGCCCAGCCCTGTATTGGGTTGTTTCTTACTGATTGGTAGGAATGTTTCAGTCAAGAAAAAAATTTTTTTTTTTTTTGAGACGGAGTTTCGCTCTTGTTACCAGGCTGGAGTGCAATGGCGCGATCTCGGCTCACCGCAACCTCCGCCTCCTGGGTTCAGGCAATTCTCCTGCCTCAGCCTCCTGAGTAGCTGGGATTACAGGCACATGCCACCATGTGCAGCTAATTTTTTGTATTTTTAGTAGAGACGGGGTTTCACCATGTTGACCAGGATGGTCTCGATCTCTCGACCTCGTGATCCACCCGCCTCGGCCTCCCAAAGTGCTGGGATTACAGGCTTGAGCCACCGCGCCCGGCCCAAGAAAAAATTTTTTTAAAAGACAGAGGGGGTCTTGCTCTATCATAAAGACCAGAGTGCAGTGGCGCCATCAGACTCCTAGGCTCAAGCAGTTCTGCAACCTCAGCATCCTGAGTACGTGGGTCTGCAGGCGCATGGCACCACACCTGACTCATGATTTACTAAACGGTATATTTTTTTTGTACAAGTGTTCATTGCTACTTCTATCCTATATTAAGTTTCCAGCCAGGTGCAGTGCCTTACGCCTGTAATCCCAGCACTTTGGGAGGCCAAGGCAGGCAGATCACGAGGTCAGGAGTTCCAGGCCAGCCTGACCAACATGGTGAAACCCCGTCTCTACTAAAAATACAAAATTAGCCGGGAGTGGTGGCATCCACCTGTAATCTCAGCTACTCAGGAGGCTGAGACAGGAGAATCGCTTTAATGCAAGAGGCGGAGGTTTCAGTGAGCCAAGATTGTGTCACCGCACTTCAGCCTGGGCGACAGAGTGAGACTGTCTCCCCAAAAAAAAAAAAAAATCAAGTTTTCATGTATGAATGGACTACAGTAGTCCCCCCTTAGCCACAATGAATACCTTCTAAGAGCCCCCAGTGAATGCCTGAAACTATAGTATGTTTTTTCCTATACATAGAAATCTAAAGGTTAATTTATAAATTAGGAACAGTAAGAGATTAACAACAATAACTGATAATAAAATAGAGTGATTATGCCAATATACTGTAATAAAAGTTATGTGAATGTGGAATGTGGTCTCCATCTCTCTCTCTCTTTCTCAATATTTGTGGGTTGTTTTTTGTTTGTTTGTTTGTTTTTTTGAGACGGAGTTTCACTCTTGTTACCCAGGCTGGAGTGCAATGACGCGATCTTGGCTCACCGCAACCTCCGCCGCCTGGGTTCAGGCAATTCTCCTGCCTCAGCCTCTTGAGTAGCTGGGATTACAGGCACACGCCACCATGCCCAGCTGATTTTTTTGTATTTTTAGTAGAGACGGGGTTTCACCATGTTGACCAGGATGGTCTCGATCTCTTGACCTCGTGATCCACCCGCCTCGGCCTCCCAAAGTGCTGGGATTACAGGCATGAGCCACCGCGCCCGGCAATATTTGTGGGTTGTGGTTGATAGAAGATATCGGAAACCATGGGAAATGAAACTAGATAAGGGGCACTACTGTACTATTGTTCCGTGGTCTTTTTGTTAATTCTTGCTCCAGTATTCCAAGTTATAATTTATTGTAGCTTTAAAATACGTCCCCCCACCTTGTGCTGCAAAAGTGTCTTTTGCTATTTTGGCATTGTTCTCCATATTAATTTTTTAAAGTTCATTTCTTAAGTTTCTTTTTTTTTGTTTATTTGTTTGTTTGTTTTGTTTTGTTTTGAGGCGGAGTTTCAGTCTTTTTACCCAGGCTGGAGTGCAATGGCACGATCTCAGCTCACCGCAACCTCCGCCTCCTGGGTTCAGGCAATTCTCCTGCCTCAGCCTCCTGAGTAGCTGGGATTACAGGCATGTGCCACCATGCCCAGCTAATTTTTTGTATTTTTTTAGTAGAGACGGGGTTTCACCGTGTTGACCAGGATGGTCTTCATCTCGTGACCTCGTGATCCACCCGCCTCTGCCTCCCAAAGTGCTGGGATTACAGGTGTGAGCCACCGCGCCTGGCCTCATTTCTTAAATTTAATGAAAAAACCTTTGGAATCTTGATTGAAATTGCATCAGATTTACAGAGTAACTTCAGGAAGTACCATCTTTGTTATGGTTAGTATTTCCAGTCATGAACATTATGTAATATCCTTCCATTTATTCACTATTTTCTTGTGTCTTTCACAAGTATATTTTGCTTCATAAAGGTTCTGCCTAGCCTTTTACTTTACAGACACATGCTGCATAATGATTATTGGGTCAATGACAGATTGCATATACAGTGGTGGTCCCATAAGATTATAATGGAGCTGAAAAATTCTGTTGTGTAAGTGATGTTGTTTTCATTGAAATGCCTTAGTGCACCAGTTGTGGTGGCCTATACCTGTGATCCCAGCAGTTTGGGAGGCCAAGGCAGGTAGATCTCTTGAGGCCAGGAGTTTCAGACCAGCTTGGGCAACATGGTGAAACCCTGTCTCTACTAAAAATCCAAAAATTAGCTGGGCATGGTGGCATGCACCTGTAATTCCAGCTACTCAGGAGGCTGAGGCAGGAGAATCTCTTGAACCTGGGAGGCAGAGATAGCAGTGAGCCAAGATCATACCACTGTACTCCAGCCTGGGCCACAGAGTGAGACTCAGTCTCAAAAAAAAAAAAAAAGAAAAGAAAAAAGAAATGTCTTAGCACAATGCATTACTTTTTCTATGTTTAGATACATAAATGCCATCCTATTATAATTCCCTGTAGTATTCAGTATGATAACATGCTATACAAGTTTGTAGCTTGGGAGCAACAGTATCCTAGGTGTGTAGTAGGCTATACTATATAGGTTTCTGTAAGTACCTTCTGTAATGTTCATGTAACAAAATTGCCTAACAACATGTCAGAACATGCCCATGTCATTAAGCCACCCATGACTGTATTTCTAGATTGCTGTTAAAATTGTTGTGAATACATTTTTAAAATTACATTTACTAATCAGTTATCTGATACGGGGTCCGCTATTGATATAATTTTCTTGGTCTTGAGTCCAGCAACTTTGCTAAACTGTAATTGTTTGTGGGTTCTCTTAAATTTGCCGTAAACCTAATAAGAACAGCTTTATCTCTTCCAATTTTTCTGTCTTTTTTTTCCGTATCTCATTGGAGTGGAATTCTGTCTTTGCATTTCATATTTTGAGCCTGTTTTTAGGTACATACAAAAGTATGATTGTTACTCTTGGTGAATGTGTCCTTATGTTACATTGTTCCTCCTTTTGCCTATTTATGCTTTTTCCTTATTTCTAATTGGTCTTTTGTTAGTATTTGCTTGATATATACTTTCACTCTTTTTAACTTCAGATTGTTTTTGGGCTTATATCTGAGTATCTCATGAACAACGAAAGGCTTATTGTTTTCTTTTTAATCCAGTAACCTTGGCCTTTTAACATAACAGTTTAATCTTTTATAATTTGCCTTAGTTAAAGCACTAGATTGGCTCTGTTCTCTTGTTTTGCCTGTGGCATTTTGAGTCCCTGTTTTTCAGTAGTAGTCAAATTCCTGACCATCACTCCCTGCTTACCTCAAAACCTGTTTCTGGAGAGATTTTTCTCTTTTTGTATTTTATTCATTGTCATAACATATTTACAGCAAAGTATGTGCATCATAGCATGAACTTAACTCTGCTATCTTGATGGGAAGTCTTCTCTAGCCTTCCGAATCCCCACATGTTGCTGGCTTTAACCCTCTAGTTCCCTACTGAAGGAGAAGATGCTAAGGAAGCAGGCCGAGTTAGAATCAGCACAGTGCCGGCTCCAACTGCAGGTCCTCACTGATGAGTGCACTAGGCTTCAAAGCCGTGTTCAGGTATGTTTGTCCTTTCTAACCCAAAGAACTTTTGGAATAGGAATGGAAGAAGAATCTAAATGTTACGTATATTCATCTCAGAAATAAATAGGATTTGCCAAGTTGTTTAGAAAGTAAACATGACCAACTCCTTATTTTATTTCTGATTAGGGAATCTGTTGAAAACTTACTACATACTTTATGATACCTATAATCTGAATTTTATTTTATTTATTTATTTATTTATTTTGAGACAGAGTCTCACTCTGTTACCTAGGCTGGAGTGCAGTGATAATGATCTTGGCTCACTGCAACCTCCGCCTCCTGAGTTCAAGCAATTCTCCTGCCTCAGCCTCTCCAGTAGCTGGGATTACAAGCACCTGCCATCACACCAAGCTAATTTTTGTATTTTTAGTAGAAACAGCGTTTCACCCTTTTGGCCAGGCTGGTCTCGAACTCCTGCCCTCAGGTGAGCCACTGCACCTGGCCTTATAATCTGAATTTTAGAAAAAATTAAATAACCAGCCACAAATTCCAAACTTGTTTAAATAATTTTACTTTCTTAAATCTACCAGTCATATGAGGGCTTTACTAGAAGGCTGCAATGAGCTGTGATTGCACCACTGCATTCCAGCATGGGTGACAGAGTGAGACCCTGTCTTTTTTTTTTTTAAAAGGACCTCAAACAAAACCACCATTAAGGACTTCTACCCCTTACATTATGATGCTGTACTCTCTTTATTTCACTTGCTTGTTGAAATACTGTAAAAACTCAGCAGTTGTCTAGGATTCATGTTAACATGTTCGTATAATAGATAAGAAGTCTTTCTGTATAAGATCAAGGAATTGTGTTTGAGGGGAATATGAAATGAAAAGCTTTGTAATTATAAAATCTTTTTCATTTTAGGACTTGCAAAGACTTATGTCACATCAAAATCAGAACTTAAAGCAACCCAGGGGCTCCCAAGCATGTGTCCTGAGTGGCTTACCCTCCAGCCAGGGCCAGCACAAGTACCACTTCCAAAAGACCTTCACAGTATCTCAGGCAGGAAACTGCCGGACCATGGCATACTGTGATGCCCTGAGCTGCCTGGTGATATCACAGCCTTCTCCTCAGGCCTCTCTTCTTCCAGGTAAACAGTCTAGAACCCCAGTTTTCATGTTTTTTATTAGACTCCCTATGTTTATTTCCTTTCCCTTTTTGAAAGATTCAAGACTCAGTAGTGCACAAACACTTACCACAGCTCACCAAATTACCTTTCCCTATCAGTCCCTTGTTAATGGAAGTACCCCAGGGTGCTGCAAAGATGTCTTTACTGTCTATTGACTTCATTCTATAAATTTATTAACGAAGAGGATAGAAATACTGATAACTGCCAGGTGTGGTGGCTCACGCCTTTAATCCTAGCACTTTAGGAGGCTGAGGTGGGCGGATCACCTGAGGTTGGCAGTTTGAGACCAGCCTGACCAACATGGAGAAATCCAATCTCTACTAAAAATACAAAATTAGCCAGGCATGGTGGCGCATGCTTGTAATTCCAGCTACTGAGGAGATTGAGGCAGGAGAATCGCTTAAACCCGGGTGGCAGAGGTTGTGGTAAGCCGAGATCTCACCATTGCAATCAAACCTGGGTGACAACAGCAAAACTTCATCTCAAAAAAAAAAAAACCAGAAATACTGATAACCATGGTAAAGCAGGAGATGGTGAAGTCCAAGGAGAAGTACATATATGTCCTGTTCAACTTACAGATTCATTTTAGACTGGAAATGTTTGATAAAGCACTACTCTAAGGGTTAATTCAAGGTTAAACAAAATTTAATACTTATTTTCAGTAGTGTTCAGGTTAACAATTTCCAAATAAGAGAATTTAGAAAGTACAGTGATTGTTTTATTAATAATAGGTTAATGTTCTCTCAATGTATTTTGTGCTTTTTTTTTTTTTTTTTTTGAGACGGAGTTTCGCTCTTGTTCCCCAGGCTGGAGTGCAATGGCGCGATCTCGGCTCACCACAACCTCCGCCTCCTGGGTTCAGGCGATTCTCCTGCCTCAGCCTCCTGAGTAGCTGGGATTACAGGCACGTGCCACCATGCCCAGCTAATTTTTTGTATTTTTTGTAGAGACAGGGTTTCACCATGTTGACCAGGATGGTCTCGATCTCTTGACCTCATGATCCACCCGCCTCGACCTCCCAAAGTGCTAGGATTACAGGCGTGAGCCACCACGTCCGGCCCTATTTTGTGCTTTTTAAGCTTAATTTTAGATTTTCTAAATGTTGAAAACCAAGTCTTTTCAAATGCTTAATTAAATCATTTCTAAATCTTGCGTATGTTTCTTTCTGCTATCTTCAGCATAAGATTTCTGCCAACTGTGAGACCCCTTTTCTTTAGTGTGGTTTCTTCTGTTTTCCCACTTAGAGCTTCCATTCAAATGCTTCAAAATGATGTCTACCAAACTTAGGTGTATGAGGGGTTGAGTGGAATCTCTACGTTATCATAAATTTTTCTATTCACTGATACCAGGTCTGAGTTGAGAGGCTATCAGGGGCCTCCTCCAATTGAGGGGAAAGTAAAAGGATAATTTTGTAATGTTCCTTTATCTCATCTAAGTTTTTAATAAATATTTCACATCAAAACCAACAAATTGGAAAAATACTATCTTGTAATGTTCCCCAGATTGGGAATGTGTTCTGTTCTTTTTTTCTTAAAGTGTCCATTGCAGTCTGCTTGGTAGTGTGCTGGTGCTGATTTGTCCTTGTTCCCCTAAATGATTAACTTGGTGTATACTTAGTTACCTTATTGATTTTTCTGTTTTTGTTTTTTCTTTTTGAGATGGAATCTTGCTCTGTGCACGGCCTGGAGTGCAGTGGCAGCCATGATTTCAGCTCACTGCAGCCTCTGCCTCCTGGGTTCAAGAGATTCTCCTGCCTCAGCCTCCCAAGTACCTAGGACTACAGGTGCATGCCACCATGCATGGCTAATTTTTGTATTTGAAACAGGGCTTTAGCATGTTGGTTAGGCTGGTCTGTCGAACTCCTGACCTCAGGTGATCCACCCATCTCAGCCTCCCAAAGTACTGGGATTACAAGCCTGAGTCAGCATGCTTGGCCACCTAGTTGAGATATCTACGTGTGTGTGTGTGTGTGTGTGTGTGTGTGTGTGTTTGTATGTACACACACACAGACATAAAGTACTTAATAGTTTTAAAAGGACTTATTTTTAGGCTGGTCAGTGGCTCACGCCTGTTATCCCAGCACTTTGGGAAGCCAAGTTCATGAGGTCAGGAGATCTAGACCATCATGGCCAACATGGAGAAACCCCATTTCTTTTTTAAAAAAAAAAAAAAAGTCATATTTTTGTTGGTTATTTTCCCTCCTTCAGGAATGTGGGTTTTGAAATGTCATCTGTGTCATTTCATTTCACACAGATGTGAAATATCTTGACAAATTACTCATTTTCATTCTTTATCGTTCACTCTTCTACATCTAGAGTGTCTGTGGTTCAGATAAATATTCTGTCTCAACAGCTTTATGGAAGTATAATTGACAGGCAATAAACTGTATATATTCAATGTATACAATTTAATGAGTTTTCACATATGTAATGCACCCCTAAAACCATCACTACAATCACGATAACTTTATTTATTTATTTAACACAAGATCTAGTTCTATCGCCCAGGCTGGAATGCAGGGAGAGGGGCGTGATCTCAGCTCATTACAACCTCTACCTCTTGGGCTCCAGCCATCCTCCCACCTCAGCCTCTCAAGAAGGTAGGACTACAGGCTCACAACACTATGCCCAGCTTATTTTTGTATTTTTTGTAGCAATGGGGTTTCACCATATTGCTCAGGCTGGTCTTGAACTCATGAGTTCAAGCAAGCCACCCACCTCAACCTCCCAAAGTGCTGAGATTACAGGCATGAGTTACCACACTCAGCCATGAACATATGTATTACCCCATAAGTTTCCCTATGGCCTTCTGTAATCTCATCTGCCCCACCCTCCTGTTTCTATCCCCACGAAGTCACTGCTTTTTGTCACTACAGATTAGTTTGCATTTTCTAGGATTTTACCTAAAAGGAATCATACAGTATTATTTTTCGGTCTGACTTCTTTCTCTCTGCATAATTTTTTATTGTAGTGTATATTAGTAGTTAATTCCTTTTTAATGGGTAGTATTCCATTATATGTGTATACCATAGACTTGTTTATCCATTTACCTGGACATTTGGAATGGAACATACTTTTTCTTCTCTTCATGGTCATGAGGCAAGCATGGGTTGTACTTTTTTTCTTTTCTTTTTTTTTTTTTTTTTTTTTTTTTTTGAGACGGAGTTTCGCTCTTGTTACCCAGGCTGGAGTGCAATGGCGCGATCTCGGCTTCACCACAACCTCCGCCTTCTGGGTTCAAGCAATTCTCCTCCCTCAGCCTCCTGAGTAGCTGGGATTACAGGCACGTGCCACCATGCCCAGCTAATTTTTCGTGTTTTTAGTAGAGACGGGGTTTCACCAAGTTGACCAGGATGGTCTTGATCTCTTGACCTTGTGATCCGCCCTCCTCGGCCTCCCAAAGTGCTGGGATTACAGGCTTGAGCCACCGCGCCCGGCTTTTCTTTTCTTTTTCTTTTTCTTTTCGTTTTATTTGTTTTGTTTTGTTTGAGACAGAGTTTCACTCTTGTTGCCCAGGCTGGAGTATAATGGTGCAGTCTCGGCTCATGGCAACCCCTGCCTCCCAGGTTCAAGCAATTCTCCTGCCTCAGCCTTCTGAGTAGCTGGGATTACAGGCACCCATCACCTTGCCCAGCTAATTTTTTGTATTTTTAGTAGAGACAGGATTTCACCATTTTGGCCAGGCTTGTCTCAAACTTCTGACCTCAGGTGATCTGCCTACCCAGGCATCCCAAAGTGCTGGGATTACAGGCATGAGCCACTGTACCCAGCCTGGGTTATACTTTTTAAAATAAATTATAGGCCAGGCATGGTGGTTCGTGCCTATAATCCCAGCACTTTGGAAGACTGAGATGAGCAGATCACTTGAGGCCAGGAGTTTGAGACCAGCCTGGCCAATATGGTGAAACACCATCTCTACCAAAAAATACAAAAGTTAGCCGAGCATGGTGGCACATGCCTGTAGTCCCAGCTACTCGAGAGGCTGAGGCAGGAGAATCGCTTGAACCGGGAGGCGGAGGTTGTAGTGAGCCGAGATCACACCACTGCACTCCAGCCTGGGTGACAGAGTGAGGCCCTGTCTCAAAAATAAATAAATAAATTATAACATAGGAGAATTTTTATTTTGTTTGACCAGCTGGTTCCCAAGGACTTACATGCCAAGAAAGGTGGACAAAGGGAGCTACTTGAAAAAGTAGTTTGCATTGCCCTAGGGTCACTTTCAGTGATCTATTTCATACTCTCTTGCCTTTGACAGGCTTTGGTGTTAAGATGTTGAGTACTGCCAACATGAAAAGCAGTCAGTACATTCCGATGCACGGCAAACAGATCCGTGGACTAGCTTTTAACAGTTGCTCCAGAGGCTTACTACTGTCTGCTTCCCTAGACAACACTATTAAACTGACCAGGTGAGTGATTTGGGGGGACAAGATGGAGATTTGGCTGTTTAGTGTTGAGTAGCATGAAATTAATATCAGTGTTATGACTGTAGCTCTGTTTTTTTTTTTTTTTTTTTGAGATTGTCTTCTGAGATCCATTTAAAATATATTGCTTTTAGAAATGGACACAGGAGGTTACAAAACTAAGCATAGTATCCTGTTTTGTTAAAATTATATGTTACAAAAGAGGTCTAAAGCATATTTTAAGGAGATGAGAATAAAATTCTAAAGTTGGTGGAGGCCAGGCTATAATTCCAGCACTGGGGGAGGCCAAGGTAGGCAGATCACCTGCGGTCAGGAGTTCGATACTAGCCTGGCCAACATGGTGAAACCCCATCTTTGCTAAAAATACAAAGATTAGCAGGCCGGGCGTGGTGGCTCAAGCCTGTAATCCCAGCACTTTGGGAGGCCGAGGAGGTCATATCACAAGGTCAAGAGATTGAGACCATCCTGGTCAACATGGTGAAACCCCGTCTCAACTAAAAATACAAAAAATCAGCTGGGCATGGTGGCACATGCCTGTAATCCCAGCTACTGAGGAGGCTGAGGCAGGAGAATTGCCCGAACAAGGAGGCGGAGGTTGCGGTGAGCCGAGATTGCGCCATTGCACTCCAGCCTGGGTAACAAGAGCGAAACTCTGTCTCAAAAAAAAAAAAAAAGGATTAGCTGGGCATGGTGGCAGTCGTCTGTAATCCCACCTACCAGGGAGGCTGAGGCAAGAGAATCACTTGAAGAATCACCTGGGAAGTAGAGATTACAGTGAGCTGAGATCACACCACTGTACTCCAGCCTGGGCAACAGAGCAAGGCTCTGTCTCAAAGTAAGTAAATAAATAAAAATAATAAAAAAATAAAGTTTGTGGAATGATAGGATAGAGGGAGCTTTGATACCTGACATTCACAGCATCACCATACCAGGTTAGGACTGCTTACTCCTGTTCCTGGTCTGTTACCTGGATAATTCAGAGTAACAGAGCTATTCACCAAGCATTCACTGCCCTTGGGTACAATGATGACTTCTTTATACCCTTACTTACTTACTTACTTTTTTTTTTGAGACGGAGTTTCACTCTTGTTACCCAGGCTGGAGTGCAATGGCACGATCTTGGCTCACTGCAACCTCTGCCTCCTGGGTTCAGACAATTCTCCTGCCTCAGCCTCCTGAGTAGCTGGGATTACAGGCACGTACCACCATGCCCAGCTAATTTTTTTTTGTATTTTTAGTAGATAACGGGGTTTCACCATGTTGACCAGGATGGTCTCGATCTCTTGACCTCGTGATCCACCCGCCTCGGCCTCCCAAAGTGCTGGGATTCCAGGGTTGAGCCACCGCGCCCGGCTACTTATTTTTGAGAGAGAGATTCTCGCTCTGTCACTGAGGCTGGAGTATAGTGGCATGATCTTGGCTCACTGCAGCCTCCACCTCCTGGTTTCAAATGATTCTCCTATCTCAGCCTCCTGAGTAGTTGGGATTATGGTTGTATGCCACCTGGCTAGTTTTTTTTTCTAGATGGAGTCTTGCTCTGTCGCCAGGCTGGAGTGTAGTGGCTTGATCTTGGCTTACTGCAACCTCTGCCTCCTGGGTTCAAGCGATTCTTGTGCCTCAGCCTCCCGAGTAGATCGGATTACAGGCAAGTGCCACCACACCCAGCTAATTTTTGTATTTTTACTTGAGATGGGGGTTTCACCATGTTGGCCAGGATGTTCTCAATCTCTTGACCTCGTGATCCACCCACCTCAACCTCCCAAAGTGCTGGGATTACAGGCGTGAACCACTGCGGCTGACCACACCTCGCTAATTTGTGTGTTTTTAGTAGAGGTAGGGTTTTGCCGTGTTGGTCAGGCTGGTCGCAAAACTCCTGACCTCAAGTGATCTGCCTGCCTCAGCTTCCCAAAATACTAAGATTACAGAGGTGTGCCACCATGCCCAGCCGCTTTATTCTTTTACTTCCTTACAACTCGAGGAAAATCTGTGGCCCCCAAAACAAATATTCTAGAATTTAAAGGAGTTACCTGGGCAGATCTTAGAAAAAGTAGGGAATCCTGATATTTTGGTTGTGTGAGTGTGTTCTCAGTTAAGGATTAAGGATCATTTAAATGATACTCTTTACATCTTTGCCAGGTATTTGATTTTCTTAATGCAGTTGTAAAAGTCTCTTGTAACTCCACAGCCTGGAGACAAACACCGTGGTCCAGACTTACAATGCTGGACGTCCTGTCTGGAGCTGTTGCTGGTGTCTTGATGAGAATAACTACATGTATGCTGGACTGGCCAATGGTTCAATTCTAGTATATGACATGCGAAACACCAGCAGTCATGTCCAGGAGTTAGTAGCTCAGAAAGCCAGGTGAGGAGCCACTTACTGTCTTCTTGGTAGTAGTAGTAGCTTTTTCTTGGCTTATTATTGTGTTCATTGTTTCTTCAGAGGGTGTTCCACAGTTGGTCATAAATCCTCACAACAGTTTTTGAAGATCCACTTGATGTCACTTCAGAATCAATAACATTCTTATTAATAAGAGTTTATATCCATGGTATTTCATATGACAGAGAGTTCTGGTACAGTTATAGCCAGGTTCATAGTCAGTAATTATCTAACATGGCAAAATAGTCAGATCTCTGTTCAGAACCCAGCTCCACTACTTACAAGTTGTGTGGCCATAGTTTTATTTCTTGGCCCATTGAAAGCTTCATTTGCAAAATCTGGTCAATGTAGGCCACTTACTTTAATAGCCACATGTCTAGCACATGGGAACAGAGCAGTTAAGGCTAGCCTAATAAAAGTGATTTAAAACTTAACCTAATCCAAAGCTAAACCAACTTGTTTGAAGATACTGTATTATTATTTATTATTTAATCCATATATGAGATTGAGAAGTTTATAAAAGTCAGCCCAAGTTCTGAGGATGGATGGCTACCAGCACCACTATGTCTTAGAATGTGTTGAGCTGCCCTGTAGGTGTAAAGTTCTCAGAAGGGGAGTAGGGTCTGTGACCTGGCCAAAATGAATCTTAGAGATAGTTTGTTTCCAACTGGATATATTAAAAAGAGCAAGGAGAGCTAAACATAAAGATATCAGTAAAGTAATAATTATTTACTGAAACCTATGCCCACATAGAGTAGACAGTAAAATACAGCATGGTTTTTTTGTTGCTGGCAGGTGTTTTTTTTTTTTTTTTCTTCTTCTTAAGACAGTGTCTTACTCTGTAAGCCAGGCTGGAGTGCAGTGGCACAGTCTTGGCTCACTGCATCCTCTGCCTCCTGAGTATTTGGGACTACAGGTGTGTGCCACCATGCCTGACTAACTTTTGTATCCTTAGCAGAGATGGGGTTTCACCATGTTGGCCAAGCTAATCTCAAACCCCTGACCTCAAGTGACTCTCCCACATTGGCTTCCCTAAGTGCTGGGATTAGAGTCGTGAGCTACGATGCCCAGCAAGTACCAAACTAAAACCCAGCAAGTTTTAAAATGGAAAGGAAAGAGTATTTGTATGTATTGTTCATTTTTATTTTTGTTTACTTTGATTACCTTTATTGTCACAGGGAAAATGAAATAAAACAGGCAAAGTAGACATTTTAGCAACTTTGGCATGAAGGAATTCACAGCAGAAATGAGTTCCTAGGAACACGGTTTGAAGGATGATATTTCTGAGAGAATTCTTGGCGTATAGTCCTGGTCATATGCTTGCAGAAGGAAATTTAGAAAATCTAAAACAGTTCTGTTTCTGAATTTAAATGTAGCTGCTTTTAGCTGTATTTTAATTGTGGGGTCTGTCAGCTACAACTTGGAATCTTTATTTTGTTACATATTTAAGCTTTGTTTCTTTCCTGACTTTTCTTTGTATGTGGCTAACCCCATTTCCACAAGCTTCACACCAGTCAAGCTTCCTAGTAAACTGTGATCTTTTTATCCCTTAAATCTCCTAGTTATTTTTTTCCTTTTTTTTTAGACCATCTGGTATCTCCCTTGAAATTAGGTGCAGAATATTATATGTATACTCTTTTGTTTCTACAGAGAGGGTTGATAATTTTTATCAGATGTCAGAGGATAGTGACTAAAGGTGTTTAACCTCTGTAGAGGTAGGAATGTGCTTGAGGGTTCCTGGTAGAGGGGTCTAGAGCCATCCGAGTTTTGGAATGTAAGATACAGTTTCCTTTTTTTCCCTTCAGATGTCCACTGGTCTCCCTGTCATACATGCCCAGAGCTGCCTCGGCTGCATTTCCATATGGTGGGGTGCTGGCTGGAAACTTGGAGGATGCTTCCTTCTGGGAACGGAAAATGGACTTTACTCACTGGCCTCATGTGCTGCCCTTGGAGCCAGGGGGCTGCATAGACTTTCAGACAGAAAACAGCTCCCGGCACTGTCTTGTGACCTACAGGCCTAGTGAGTAGTGGAATGTCCTTGTGGGGCCTCCTTTGGTTTATTTGGGAGCGCAATGGTAGAGAAGAGGGAAGGAGAGTTTGAGCCTATCCTTTGGGTGGCTGTGGTACCCCTCACAGGCTAATAAGATATGTTGTAGCTCTTGCTACTATAGGAAGGATGGTGTCTCCAAACTCCCGCACAGAGCCTGCCTTCCTGCTTCCTCCATGTGAGGACTGAAGCATATTCTGCCAGGTCCTCCTGGAAGTGAATTAGCCACTCAGGAGCCCCTGCAACTTAGAACAGTAGTGGAATGAGGGGGCCAGCTCTTTAGGTCATTGAGCCACCTTGAGATCACTTTTTTGTCTTCTGCCTGCCCCTCACTTCCCCTGAGAGAAAAGCCTAGATTAGGACAGCCATGTAGTACCCGGCGTATTGTCTATTCCTCCTTATTTGTGCCAACGAAGGTAAATAAGGGGAGATGGACAACAGTGGTTGTGTGGGCTCAGCCAGCTGAACATCTCTGTCTTCGGAATCAGAGGTGGAACCCCTAACAGCAGACTGTGCTTCATTCACAGCTTCTTTCTAGGCTAAGTGGCATGAATCTAAATTCCAGGTGAACTGTACTGATGGTCAGCGTTGTACGTTTTTTCTTTCTAATTTGGTCTTGAGCTCTCTGTCAGGAGAGTGTCTATAAACTCTAACCCTGTCCGCCAAGCTCAAGGGAGTTGGTTGTGAATGTTCATAGTGTGTCTTTCACAAGATACTCCTTTGTCTTGGTAGATGGCCTAATGCCTGTCTGACGCATGACCAGGTGTCCCTCACAGGGAGTTTGTTTATACTGGCGGGTACCCTTGTGTCTCTTGTCTGACCTGTGTCCAGTTTATTTCCTTTGAGATAGCAACTCTCTAGAAGAGCCCTGAATAGGAAAGAAGCTAGGTTCAAGTGTGTTGGTCAAGTGAGATACAAAGGAGGTAGTGCATAAAACACATGAAATAACGGAAACAGCTTACTTGATAGATCCCAAAGAAAAGAGGGCAGCATGCTTCAGAGGGCCAATGGGAAGAAGGGGTTAGGCCATCCAGGATAGGCCACCGTAGGGGCAGGTTGGGAGTTGAGGGGAGGGACAAGTGTGCTATATTTCGAACCTTGCTCAGGGAAGGGACGTTGTAACTAGGCCAAAGTTGACAGGGTACATCTGGGTTTCAAATAATTTATGCCAGCCCTAAAAACAGATGCTGAGGTAACAACTGTATTAAGCAAATTTATAACAGGCAGGTGTTTAGTTAGAGTTAGTCATTAAATGCGCCCACTTCTAGTTGTGGGTAGATCTACACATGTTTTTAAGTTTCCTTTGAGCTGAGAAACATCTCAGTAGCACTTCACTCTAAAGACCCTTGGGCTCTTTGTCATCCCACGGCTCTGCTATCTCCAAGACTGATTTGCTGTGACTGGTGTAGAAATCCTGGGGGTTCTATTTTGTTCTCTGGCTTTTGTTTGCCTCCCAGCAGAATTTCAAATCATCTTTATCTTTCTGTAATAGCACACTTTCACTTTATAAAAAAATGCAGTCCCTGGGGCTAATGAGGTTCTCACTGGGGGAAGGGAAAAACCTTTTACTGAGAATTCTTGAGAGAGAAATCCCCCAGCAGAGGTCTGCCAGGAGACTGATCTTAACTAAAACAGGTAAGTCACTCTCAAAATTGTTTTTCTCTTAAGCAAAAACCCATTGTAGATAACTTGATTTCTAGCTTACGGTTCTGAATTTCATTGATGCTGTGATATTTTGTTCTTGTCCTGTTATTTGTTTTGTAGCTGTTTTTGATGGTTTAATGCATTTATGGCTTTTCCATCCAAGTAGGTTGTAAGTGTCTGAGGTTTGGGTACTTGGTTAATGTGTTTTGTAGCATACCCATGGTGCAGCACTGATTTCTCTGTCCCGTAGATAAAAATCATACCACAATACGAAGTGTGCTGATGGAAATGTCCTACAGACTGGATGACACTGGAAATCTGGTCTGCTCCTGCCAGCCTGTACATACATTTTTTGGAGGACCCACTTGCAAACTGTTGACCAAAAATGCCATTTTCCGAAGCCCAGAGAATGATGGCAACATCCTGGTCTGTACTGGGGATGAAGCAGCAAATTCTGCCCTGGTGAGCCTGTAATTTTTTACTTTCATGTAAAAAGTAGTTTTGCTTAAAATATTGGTAAGGGAAAACTTGAACATTTTTTTACAGAAGCTCATAAAGCAAAAAAGTTCTGTGTAATCCCACATATCCACATATGTGTGTATGTGATGTTGCCTGGTTTACATATGAGTTGTGCTTTCCATACTGCTTCATAGTTTCTTCTTTTTTCATTTAACTTCCTATCTTAGAGATGTTTTCATTTCAATATCTGTAGAGTCGCATCATTCTTTTTAACTGAGCCACAGTTCCAGGGGTCATACTGTGTGTGAATCTTTAAAGAAAGAAAGAAAGTACTGAGGGCCGGGCGTGGTGGCTCACGCCTATAATTCCAGCACTTTGGGAGGCCGAGGCGGGTGGATCACAAGGTCAAGAGATCGAGACCATCCTGGTCAGCATGGTGAAACCCCGTCTCTACTAAAAATACAAAAATTAGCTGGGCGTGGTGGCACACGCCTGTAGTCCCAGCTACTCGGGAGGCTGATGCAGGAGAATTGCTTGAACCCAGGAGGTGGAGGTTGTGGTGAGCCAAGATCGCGCCATTGCACTCCAGCCTGGGTAACAAGAGCGAAACTCTGTCTCAAAAAAAAAAAAAAAAAGACAGTACTGAAACCTCAATAAAATAATTAATTCAGGCCTCAGCTTCATCAATTCAGGATTAAACAAACAGATGAAAGATTGATGGGAAGTTTTACAGTGGAAGAATCAGTCTGTCACCACCTGAACATGTTGGTCAATTTTGCCATCACTGTAGGTGGGTTAACCAAAAATAATTGGGTCTTTTTGATGTGATGACAATAGGAAGCACATGGTGCCTCCTATGAGATGTCTTTTTTTTTTTTTTTTTTTTTTTTTGAGATAGAGTCTCTTGCTTTGTCGCCAGGTGCCAGGCTGGAGGGCAGTGGCCCAATCTTGGCCCACTGCAACCTCCGCCTCCCGGGTTCAAGCACTTCTCTGCCTCAACCTCCTAAGTAGCTGGGACTACAGGCGCATGCCACCATGCCCAGCTAATATTTGTAATTTTAGTAAAGACGGGATTTCACCATGTTGGCCAGGATAGTCTCGATCTCTTGACCTCGTGATCCACCCGCCTCAGCCTCCCAAAGTGCTGGAATTAGAGGTGTGAGCCACTGTGACTGGCCCTTTTTTTTTTTTTTTTTTGAGACAATAATCCGTCTGTCACCCAGGCTAGAGTGCAGTGGCACGATCTTGGCTCACTGCTGCAACCTCCACCTCCCTAGTTCAAGTGATTCTCCTGCCTCAGCCTTCTCAGTAGCTGGGATTACAGGCACCTGCCACCATGTCAGACTAATTTTTGTATTTTTAATAGTGATGGGGTTTCACCACGTTGGCCAGGCTGGCCTCGAACTCCTGACCTCAAGTGATCTGCCAGCCTGGACCTCCCAAAGTGCTGGGATTACAGGTGTGAGTCACTGCACCTGGCCGAGATGTTCATGAACCTGAGTCTAATTAAGGCTTAGAGCAGCATCCTCTAATACAGTCACACTAGCCACATGAGCACTTTAAGTGTGCTTAGTGCCACAGAAGAACTTAATGTTTTACTTTAATCAAGTTAAATATAAGTAACTTGTATAACTAGAGGCCACCATACTGTATAGTGCAACTCTAGAAACTAGTGCTAACTTTCATTGACTAGAGTTGCCGGGAATAGAGGAGAACAAGTTTAATGATAGCACAGAAAACATATACACAAGTCCAGGTAGGGGGTGTTCTCTAAGACAGCTGATCCAGCTTCCACAGTAAATCAATGGCAGAAGTAAAAAGGTGGGAAGGTTGGGTCTGATCTAGGTTAAAAGAGACAATTAAAATTTATAAACACCCAGTCTTGAGTGCAGATGTAATGTAGACCTTACTTGATCCTGATTCAAATAAACTGAATATAAAAATATATCAGAAAATGCTGATTATGCACCAGGTATTAGATAATACTGTAAATTATTAATTTTGTTGGACATGATGACGTTATGCCAGATATAAGAAAATGTCTTTTTTTTTTTTTTTTTTTTTTGAGACCGAGTTTTGCTTGTCCAGGTTGGAGTGCAATGGCGCCATCTCAGCTCACCACAGCCTCCACCTCTGGATTCAAGCTGTTCTCCTGCCTCAGCCTCCCGAGTAGCTAGGATTATAGGCATGCACCATCACATCCAGCTAATTTTGTATTTTTAGTAAAGACAGGGTTTCTTCATGTTGGTCAGGCTGGTCTTGAACTCCCAACCTCAGGTGATCTGCCCACCTCAGACTCCCAAAGTGCTGGGATTACAGGTGTGAGCCATCTTTTTTTTTTTTCCCCCTTGAGATAAAATCTCACTCTGTTACCCAGGCTGTAGTACAGTAGCACAGTCTTGGCTCACTGCAACCTCTGCTTCCTGGGATTAAGCGATTCTCCTGCTTCAGCCTCCCACGTAGCTATAGAAGTACACCACGATGCCTGGCTATTTTTATATTTTTAGTAGAGATGGGGTTTCACCTTGTTGGCCAGGCTGGTCTTGAACCCCTAACCTTAAGTGATCCGTCCGCCCCAGACTCCCAAAGTGCTGGGATTATAGGCATGAGCCACTGTGCCTGGCCCTCTCTACTTTTTTTTTTTTTTTGAGAAGGGGTCTCTGTCACCCAGTCTGGAGTGCAGAGGTGCGATCTTGGCTTACTGCAACCTCCACCTCCTGGCTTCAAGTGTTTCTTGTGCTTCAGCCTGCCAAGTAGCTAGGACTATAAGTGTATGCTATCATGCTCATGCCTGGCTTTCTCTACTTTTTAATACTTTAAAATGTTTTTCTTTTCTTTTCTTTTTCTTTTTCTTTTTCTTTTTTTAAAGAAACAGTATCTTGCTCTGTTCTGGCTAGAGTGCAGTAGTGTAATCATGGCTCACTGTAGCCTCCTTAGCTCAAGCAATCCTCTTTCAGCCTCTTGAGTAGCTGGAACTGCAGGCATGCACCACCACACCTGGCTAATTTTTAAATTTCTTGTAGAGATGGGAATCTTGCTATATTGCCCTAGCTGGTCTCAATCTCCTATCCTCAAGGTATCCTCCCATCTCTGCCTCTCAAAGTGTTGGAATTACAGGTGTGAGCCACCATGCCTGGCCAGTAATAAATTTTTAGAGGCCAGATGCAGTGGCACATGCCTGTAATCCCAGCACTTTGGGAGGCCAAGACGGGCGGATCTTCTGAGGTCAGGAGTTCGAGCCCAGCCTGGCCAACATGTTGAAACCCCATCTGTACCAAAAATACAAGAAAATTAGCTGGCTGTGGTGGCAAGTACCTGTAGTCCCAGCTGCTTGAGAGGCTGAGGCAGGAGAATCCCTTGAACCTGGGAGGTGGAGGTTGCAGTGAGCCAAGATCATGCCAGGGCACTCCAGCCTGGGTGACGAGAGCGAGACTGTGACTCCCCCCACCCCTCCAAAAAAAAGGTGAGTTCCATGAGGCCAAGGACAGGGGACTTTATCATATTGGCCCTTCTGTCCCTACATGAGTCTGGCACATAGATTGAAGGAATGGAATCTGGGCTCTATTTTCAGATCTACTTACAGGTAGACTAACTGCTGATTACAGTAGGTGAAGCTGTACCTGAACTATGTCAGGTGTGCTGGCTTTGAGTAACCTTGCGAAGGTTAGGGATGGCTTGTTTTTCTCCAGGTAGTGTTCTCTCTGCAGCCTTGTCTGACTTGTTTGATGATAAAGAAAGCAAGTCCCCTGGGTGAACTGATTGACTTCTGACCCTTCTCTCTGCTTGCTTTCTTCAGCTGTGGGATGCTTCCAGTGGCTCGTTGCTCCAGGAACTACAGACTGCTCAGCCTGTCTTGGACATCTGCCCATTTGAGGTGAACCATAACAGCTACTTGGCCACCTTAACAGAGAAGATAGTCCATATCTATAAGTGGGAGTGACCATGGTCTTGAAACCTTTCAGGCATGCTGCTGGTTAGGTTTAAATGTTGTTTGCTAGCACCTAGCAGCCCCAGGCAAGATCCCCGTTTACTGTGTACAGCCTAGAACATTGGGGATCATGGTTTGTTCCATTAATATGATTCTAGGACTCTGTCGCTGAGATACAACAGATCGTGTATCTGTTATGTCCACTAAAAGAGTAATTGATGGGTACTTTATCTACATTATCCATTTCTTGGGTTTAAAGCCTTCATTAACCATTATTGTTTGCTGGAAATTCTTCTATGTGATTTTCTGGACCTTCGAGAGTGTCCTCTCATCAGTCATCTAGAATGTGTGTAGGCATTAAGCATTTAAGCGTTTTCTAGGGGATGTGACACCCCACCTGAGTTGTTTTGTCACTTAGGTATCCTTGAAAGGACTAACCTTCATCTTGATACTGATTTGATGCAACATAGATGTAAAAGAGTATTATTCAGTTGAACACAAGAGGGCACTGTAGAACCTTATGTCTGGTTTATTTCGGACCTTGAAGGTTGACAATCTTTTAGTAACTTGTCATATCTCCACAGAAGTGTGTGATAGAGCACATCTGGTTGTGCTTTGTGGCAACAACACTTGGTTGTTTTTTTTTTGTTTTTTGAGATGGAGTCTCAGTCTGTTGCCCAGGCTGGAGTGTGGTAATGTCATCTTGGCTTACTGCAACCTGCAACCTCTGCCTCCCGGCTTCAAGTGATTTTCCTGCCTCAGCCTCCGGAGTAGCTGGGACTACAGGCATGCATTGCCATGCCCAGCTAATTTTTGTATTTTTAGTAGAGACGGGGTTTCACCACGTTGGCCAGGATGGTCTCGATCTCTTGACCTCGTGATCCTCTGGCCTCGACCTCCCAAAGTGCTGGGATTACAGGTGTGAGCCACTGCGCCCAACAGGAACAATGCTTGTGTTTTAGGTATGAAGTGCTGGAACATTGGCAGGCCCAGGGATGGAAGCAGGTAGTGAACTATTCCCTTTGCTAATAACTTGTGCATTAAGTTCCTAATTCTCCTAAATTGCTTTGTGAGAAGTAAGGAAAGAGGCCAGGTGTATGAGCAGTGGGGAGGACTGCTTTTTCTAGCCAGCCTAGGATCTCAGGATTGGTTTTATCCAAGCTAGTGCTTTAAAGAACACTCTCTGTCTCTTGCCTGGAAAAGATGAGGGGTATGTCAAAGCTTTTACTTGTGACTCCCCTTGTGTCAGAGATTAGGAGCCATACATAAAAGAGTTTACAAAATTTATTCAGACTTTGTTGAAAACATGAGAAAAACTTGTCTGTCCCATTTTGAAAGAGTTCCTATCTAAATAAAGCCAATTCCTCAGTCTGAGGGGCTGTTCATAAGTGTTTTTTATACTTTCCAGGTAAAGCCTTCCCTATATGAAGCTGATGTTTGATTCCAGTTTCCTCTGATTTGCCTCCCTAACCTTTTCTTAAAATGTTGTTAATAAAAGGCTATTCTCAGGAATAGTGTTTGGGAAACCTATGTGAATGGCAGGGAGGTACCCACCAACATTCAATCCATACCTGGGAGCATCACTTCTCTCCAATAGAGGGCTGAGTTATATTTTATTTTTTTGCTTTGCTTAGACTGCTTCCCAAAACCACTGTCCTCAACAGAATATGCTTAAAGATGTGGGCAGGTCAGTGTCTGCAGTCTTTATTTTCTCAAATGATTGGTGAAGAGATGTTATTGTTTTTATTATAAAACACTTCTGACCTGTCAGTTCAAGACCTATTTTTTTTTTCTCTCCGTGCCCCCAAGAGCTCTTTCTAAGATCTTTCTCTCCAGCCAGGGGTTATTGCAGTAGATTTCCCCAGAGTTCCAAGTTCTAGTTGTGCTTTTTAATGACCCTTTAGTATTTTAGGACATCATTTTTTCCTTTTAAAAATTTTTTGTAGCAATGGATGTTTTACTATTTTACCCAGGCTGGTCTTGAACTCCTGGCCTCAAGCAATCCTCCTGTCTTGGCCTCCTAAAGTGCTGAGATTATAGGCATGGGCCAGTGTACCCGGCCCCTATTTGAAGACGTCTTTGGTAAAAGCTAGCTTCTAGAACCCCAGAAAAGTTCTTTTTTCAGAGAAGATACTCCTTTTGATATGTTGATGATTAAGAGTGGCTGCCCAGGCCTGGAGTTGCAGTGGCAGAATAGGATTGGAGTTAAAAAGCAGAACTCATCTGGCTTCAGGAGATTGCCACTGAGAAGATACAGGCGGTCAAGCCCTGGCTGGCCTCGTTTTGGGGCCTGGGCAGGATTAGGGTTTGACTTGCTTTGAAGTATACTCAACTGATGCTGATTGATTGCCCTAAGAATAGGAAGCAAGGGACTTAACTATGAGAGACCTTAGGTGAATCCTAAGTCTTGCCAGTCCTTGCAGTTGTACATTAAATTTGGATGTTTTGGAAGCAAATTCATGTGACTGTGACTAATATCTCCAAAGTAAAAAAAACTTTGTCCAGCCTGGCCAACATGGTGAAATTAAAATTTTGTAATAAAAATACAAAAATTAGCTGGACACTGGCATGTGCCTGTAGTCCCAGCTACTTGAGAGGCTGAGGCAGGGAAATCGCTTAAAACCGGGAGGCAGAGTTTGCTGTAGGCTGAGATTGTGCCACTGCACTCCAGCCTGGGCAACAGCGAGGCCGGCTCTATCTCAGAAAACAAAACCTTGTCCCCATTCCCTATCCCCATTGCAGGACATCACATAGATGCAGGCCTTAGTCTTCTGGGTTCCACCAGGCTCTCTGCCCCACCACATTCCTTTGCCACTGTATCTATGGTTTTTTTTCCCCCACTTGAGGATTTGGAGTTAAACAAACTCAAAATATCTTGTCGTCGTATGTATCCTTGCCCCTGCTTTGAAAACAGGGCAGTGAGAACTCTATTTGTATCCTTTGTTTTAATGTTTCTGTTTTATGTTTTAATGTAAATGTGAAAATAAAGACTTTGCCATGCATAATGGCCTAGTGTCTTTTGTCTTTGACTTCTAGAGGCAGGAACATGTCTACCTCTTGGGAGAGGGGTATAATCCCAGCCAGGTAGATTTCTCCTTTTTTTTTTTTTTTTGGAAACTGAGTCTCACTGTTGCCTCAGGCCTGAGTGCGGTAGTACAGTCTCAGCTTACTCACTGCAATCTCTGCCTTCTGGGTTCAAGCGATTCTCCTGCCTCAGCCTCCCAAGTACTTGGGATTATAGGTGCCTTTCACCATGCCTGGCCTGTTTCCATATTTTCAATAGAGATGGGGTTTCACCGTGTTGGCCATGCTGGTCTCCACTACCTGACCTCAAGTTATTTGCCCATCTTGGCAGCCTCCCAAAGTGTGGGGATTACAGACATGAGCCACCTCACCAGGCCATAGATTTCTTCTTTTTCAAACTAATGAAGTAGGTGAGGCTTTAACGTGCAGTTCTATTTTGCTGTTGCCAGTGGAAAGCAATGTGTTTGCCTCTTAAGAACCATGTGTCCTGACCAGGTGTGGTGGCTCATGTCTGTAATCCCAGCACTTTGGGAGGCTGAGGTAGGTGGATCACCTGAGGTCAGGAGTCCAAGACCAGCCTGGCCAACATTGCAAAACCCCATCTCTTCTAAATAATACAATCATTAGCCAGGTGTAGCAGCAGGCGCCTGTTATCCCAACTACTCCGGAGGCTGAGGCAGGGAGAATTGCTTAAACCTGGGAGGCAGAGGTTGCAGTGAGCTGAGATCACACCACTTCACTCCAGCCTAGGTGACAAAGCGAGACTGTCTCAAATAAATAAACAAACAAACAAACAAACAAACCTGTGTTATCCTGGTCGTGGGTCTATTTATTCTCAGATCTAGGGATCTACATTTCGCAGACTATCTTGCCTGCTGGCTTCCTGCTAGTTTATTTGAATCCAGGAGACTGTAAAGTGGGAGGAAGAGAGAGGAGATGACTTTCTTTCCCTTTATTTCTTTTAGTCGTTGGCAGCACTTCTGACAGTGGCAGCAGCAGGGTTCCTGCTCAGCACAGTTCTGGCCACCTGCCTCAATTTCTTTGTTCTGTTTTAATTCAAGAATCTTTATTGCCATAAATCGCGGTGCTCTGGAATTAGGCTGGAAAGGCTGAAAATGTCTTCCAGCTGAACAGCAAATGGAGTATACCAGGTTCCAGCAGAACTGAATCCATAGGTATAAGCTTACTTACTAACTTCATGGAGCCTGGTGTTCTAAGGGAAAATGACAGAGGTCCTAGGATAGAAGTAAACCCCAAATTGCTACAAAACCTAATGCCGTTTTTTGCTTTTCACAGTACCCATGTTTTTGTTTCTCATCGACTATAAGTGAAATACTGAAAGAAAGAAAAAAAAACTTTTTTTTTTTTTTTGAGACGGAGTTTCACTCTTGATACCCAGGCTGGAGTGCAATGGCGCGATCTCGGCTCACCGCAACCTCCGCCTCCTGGGTTCAAGCAATTCTCCTGCCTCAGCCTCCTGAGTAGCTGGGATTACAGGCACGTGCCACCATGCCCAGCTAATTTTTTGTATTTTTAGTAGAGACGGGGTTTCACCATGTTGACCAGGATGGTCTCGATCTTTTGACCTCGTGATCCACCTGCCTCGGCCTCCCAAAGTGCTGGGATTACAGGCTTGAGCCACCGCGCCCGGCTGGCGCCTGGCTTTTAATAGGATTTTTAACCCGTTTCTTCTCCTTTAAAATAGAATAATAGTAAGTATTCCATAACATTAAGAATTACTTATTAGTAATAAATATTCACTAATAGATTACTTATTAGTAAACTATAAAGAGATAAAACAGCAGATTGTTACCTGGGATTACAGGCTTGAGCCACCGTGCCCGGCCTGCCTAATGCAATTGTTTTCTATTTATCCCATCTGTTCTTTGTTACTTTATTCCTATCCTTTTTGCCTTATTTTGGATTAATCAAATGCTTTTCATTTCAGTGTTTTTTCTCTTCTTTTATTTGAGACAAAGTCTCATTCTGTTGCTCAGGCTGGAGTGCAGTGGCACAATCTCAGCTCACTGCAATCTCTGTCTCCCTGGTTCAAGCAATTCTCATGCCTCAGCTTCCCTAATAGCTGGGATTATGGGTGCACACCACCATGAACTGGTAATTTTTGTATTTTTATTATTTTATTATTTTTATTTTTTCGAGACAGTCTCACTGTGTCTCCCAGGCTGGAGTGCAGTGGCACAATCTCAGATCACTGCAACCTCTGCCTCCCAGGTTCCAGAGATTCTCCTGCCTCAGCCTCCCAAGTAGCTAGGACTACAGGCACATGCTACCACACCCTGCTAATTTTTTGTATTTTTACAAAATACAAAGAGACACGGTTTCACCATGTTGGCCAGGTCCTGAAGTCCTGACCTCAAGCCCACCTTAGCCTCCCAAAGTGCTAGGATTACAGGCGTGAGCCACCGTACCCGGCCAATGTTTGTATTTTTAGTAAAAATGGGATTTCTCCCATGTTGGCCAGGCTGATCTCAAACTCCTGACTTCAAGTGATCCGCCTGCCTCAGCCTCCCAAAGTGCTTGGATTACTGGCATGAGCCACTGCACCCGGATTGTTTTTTGGCTTCTATTAGCTTTACACTTAACACATTCATGTGCTGTTTTAGTGTTCACCCTAAATTCTTGGGCCTAGCTAGTATAATCTGCATCCTTGATTATATGCTATGTGCTATGGGAGTCACATATTTTACTTTTAGATATGTTCTAAATCTGTCATTATGGTTATCTAAAATAATTAGTGGTATTAATTGTCCCCATATTGACCCTTCCAGTGCTCCTACTTCTCAGGCTACCAACTGGGATCACTTTCCGTCAGCCTAGGTTTGGGAAGTAGAAAAGTTCCTTTTTAAAGTTTCCTTTCTTGTTAAAGAATAAGTGTGCGGCTGGGCGCGGTGGCTCAAGCCTGTAATCCCAGCACTTTGGGAGGCTGAGGCGGGTGGATCATGAGGTCGAGAGATCGAGACCATCCTGGTCAACATGATGAAACCCTGTCTCTACTAAAAATACAAAAAATTAGCTGGGCATGGTGGCACGTGCCTGTAATCCCGGCTACTCAGGAGGCTGAGGCAGGAGAATTGCTTGAACCCAGGAGGCGGAGGTTGCGGTGAGCCGAGATTGCGCCATTGCACTCCAGCCTGGGTAACAAGAGTGAAACTCCATCTCAAAAAAAAAGAATAAGTGTGCTAATAACTTCGTTAAGCCCTATCCTATGTAGCTGTTAAACATGCTGTGCTTACAGGCATGTAGTACATTCTATGTCCTTGTACTTTAACAAAGGTATCTATGCTGAACATGCTCACAGGCATGTCCCAGCTCTCCATTGCTTTTACCTGTTTAGAAAAGTTTTAAATTATTAGCCAGTCGGGTTTTAGTTTAGATTGTGAGGTCTGGCTCTAGTGAGCGGAGATCAGACACAGCGATAAGGGACAACCCCAAATTTGTAAGGAATAAATGTGTCTGTTTTTCCTTTGTTCAATATGCTCTCATGGCAAGATGACTAGTAAGAGTACATTTACTGCAGTCCAGAAAGTAAAAATTGCGTTGCTGAAATATCCTTTGTCTCAGTTCCCTGAGCATCTATTTCCAACACTAGGGTAATGCAAGTCAGATGGCAGTGAATTCTCTAGGCTTTTGTATGTCTGAAAATGTCTTTATTTCACCTCCTTTAAAAAAAAATAGACCCTGGCTGGGCTCAGTGGTTCATGCCTGTA